TGTCAGATTGTGGGTTAAAATTGTGCTTTGTTCCTTGTCAACTTCATATTAGTGAAGTCATTTTATATTTCAGTTGATTACTCTGAGTGTTGTTAATGTTGTGTGTAATAATATTGGAGTGACTATACAGTTATAGTTGCTTCTTAACGTCTTGATTATTTATTAGCCATTGCATTTTATTAAGTGTTTCTGTTGGAGTAAAATTATTTTTGCTAAAAATTATTGTCAAAAATAATTCATAAGTGTGAGGACTTTTCTCTTATGATACTATTAAGGTTGGATACATATACACGTGAATGTCAACATTTAATAACTGTAATTTTTAGTGATCATTTTCCTTATACTCATGATCGTAATATTTAAAGGCACATTTAACAAAGACATCACAATATCAAATGAGAATGCAAAAGCATGTGACTTCTGGTGCTTAGTTTGCTGCTCTTTGATTGGTTAAGCTGGTTTTTCGGCGTGCATGCACCATCGTCTTTGCTATCACATTGTCTTTGCTAAATCTGCCTATTAAATGCTAGTCACTGTCAAAAGGATGACTATATGAGAATATTATGAAGCAAGGTTTTAGCCTGGTGATCTTGGCGTAGAGAGGGAGGAGGGGGCAGTTCTGAGGATAATACAAATCACTGTATTTTTATGCCCTGAGGATAGGCCATTTTAGGTTTCCAAAAACTTGCACTTTCAAAACGAGGTTACATGCAAAATCGTTCTTGTGAAAGTAAGTTTTATTTGCATGAGGATAAAAAATCATTTCCATATCAATGGTTTTGCATTTAACTTTGCTTTGAAACAATAGCTTCTGGTATTTAGAAATGGCCCATACACCACTTGCACATCTCCTGTAATGCACCTTATTTGTCCCCCCAAATTTTGCATAAGCATTTTTTTCAATTTCTCTTGGGATGGCTATAATACCCAGGAGAAATGAAAAACAAAGCTTATGCAAAATTGTGGGGGGCATATAAGGTGCATTATGGGAGATTTGCAAGTGGCGTATGGAGCTTTTGTTTACAGAAATAGGGAGGAAAGGGCTTGCCCCCTTGGCCCCTCCCTCACCACCTTTAGGGTGGGGCCTTCCCTTGGATAACTCTCAGAAGCCACCCAAATTTTTTTAGCTAAAACCCTGTTTGCCAAAGCCAGGGTAAGTTGACACCCTCACCTTCAGTTTTAAGATTTAGAAGAATGAGTGAAATATAATATATTGCTAATATGAAAAATAATTATTTACTTTATGCTTGTGCTTAAAAATGGAAATTGCTTGGCAGTGCTTTCTTGTTGACTTTACATAGTGCATCGTCAAATTTTGCAAAAAAAGGTTATGATTGTAAAATTTTGGTGGTAACTAGTAAATGAATAAAATTATTTGTGGTGTAGTGGTATATGAATGTTATTTTATGTTGATTTACCTATGCCTTTAGAATACAGGCCTGGGTTGTTCATAAGCTGGATTGTGCTATACACCCGATAAATCACTATCCAGCGGATACGTTTTTGGGAAACCAATTGCCTTATCCACTGGATAGAGATTTATCCATGGGATAGCACTATCCACCTTTTCAACAACCGGGGCCTGTACACTGTATACGCACTTGACCTTATGCCCACCAAGGGCCTGTTTACATGCAGGTGGGGAACCCCAGATAGGCGAGGTAACATGTGGCGGTCGCCCCACCTATCATGTAAACATGATCAATTTAATTAAAATGAGAGATTATATGAACAGGGGGGTTACCCCACCTAAGCGGGTTACATCACCTCCCTGGGGTCACCCACTTCCATGTAAACAGGCCCTAACACCTTCGGACTTTTTTCTCACACCTGGCGGAAAAAATTCAGCCACCAGAATATATATACCACAAGTGAATTAAAGTAGAACCATTCGCCGTTTGCCCATCTCCCTTGATGCACATTCTTGGCCCCACCACCAAAAATAAGATCAAGCACATTGTCTTCAATTTCTCTTTGGAGGACTGTAATACCCAGAAAAAAAAATTAAAAACAAAGGTTATGCAAACTTGACGGGGGGAGTAAGCAAGGAGTATTATGGGAGATAAGCGAATTGCAAAAAAAACGAAACGTTGACGTGAGCTATCGCTCTTCGCCAAAATCTCTAACTTTAGAAGTCCTGATGGGGTTTAATCACTTCCTTATTAAGAACTATAGAACGTCTTCGAATATGACCAGGTTCTCTAGGCGAAATGCTGGTAGTCTAAAGATAAAAATCATAAGGCCATGCGTATGATTCAAGGACAATTTGGAAGATATATGACAGCATTGTTCACCTACTGAACAAGTGACCCACAAGGAGCAGCATACCTCCGTCCTAGTTGCGGGTGACGCCCTCATCAATGTAATAGGGACGAGTGCTTAACAAACCTTCCCGTACAGAGGTGCAAATGTTTATGAAGGGTTTCACGTAATATGTTGCTTTCAATCAGAAAAAAAATTAGGTTATGTATTGGAGCCGGGTGGCTAGTGACTACCTCACAATAATTACTTTGACTACTTTGGGTATGGTGCAGTTATCAGAGGGGAAAGACCTCTGCTAACAAGGAAGTACTGAATTGACTAATGTCACACCCCAAGCATTGCACTAAGAGGTCAGGTGACATCGTTTTTATGAAAATGAAAGTCACATGATTTTGCGTTCGAAAAACGAGGAGTGGGTCATATCTTAAAAAAAAATAATAGTGGCCCGCACCATTTCCTTAAATTGAGTAAGTTCGTAGCTAGTCAGGTGACCAAAATATGGAACTCAAATTTTGCACTTAAACTTCAAGGAAAATGTTGAAAATATGATGTGGTAACGTTTACAGCACATCTGAGCGTAAATATCACAGGAGCGGATCTAGGGGGAGGGTGCAGGGGTGCCCCCCCCTGAGATGACCTGCGGTTTTCTAATACAACTGGCATTCTGAAAAAAAAACTGTGGTTTATTGGTGTTGAAGTAGAGCAAGAGACGAGTGCACCTCCTCCTAAAAAAAATCCTGGATCCGCCCCTGTATCAAACGTTTAACAAGATTTAAGCTCAAAGTAGTTTTGGCCGCCATGTTGGAGGGCAAAAGTATGCCCTCCAACATGGCGGCCAATACAAATCATACTACTTTGTTGAAAAATCAAAGTGCCATAAAATATCTCCCTTAAATGCGTTTCCTCTCAAAATTCGGGTGTGGGATAATTTTTATGTGCTCTAATAATTTTTGGCATCGGCAAGATTCCAACTCATTGTTTAAAGGAAGCATTGGTCACGCGGTCTCTTAGTACAAGAGGCCTATTCCACTCGGTGTAAAGTTTGACTGTTATGCCAGTCAGATATCGCGGTTAAAAAAGACAGGCAGGCTTACAGGTGACAAGCGATTAGCTGTTTATACAAGAAACAAACTTCATTGGCAAGTTCAGCTGGTATATTCTTTATGTCTATTTCTATTTGATTTTTTTAAAAATTATAATTTTGCGTATTTTTATAACTGATGTAATGATCTACTACACCTCTGCCTATAAAGTTGCGTGCTTGTTCTGGTTGATATAAAATATTATGGGTCCCCTTCAAACGCATGGACAAGCAAAGATTGACAAAAGCAAGAGTTTTTCCAACAAGCCAAAGTATACTTTATTGATAGACTAAACAACAAAGAATACCTGGAACAATAATATACTAGTACACCACAGCCGGACACGTAAACCCCGAAAAACCAATTTTGGAAAAAATGGGGACCGTGTACCCCCGACCAGTGCTATGGTGCAGCCTTTGGGGTTTTAAGGCCTGCTACATATAAATACGAGAAAACAAAATAACTTAAGGTGTTTGAACATATAATATCTCCTAGCTAGGCTAAAAGTGAAAAAAAAAGCAAAAAATGTTCGCGGAGTTTAGTCGGCGACTTGAATATCTGTCGCTGTTTCAAAATGCCCGCGTAATGATACTAAAGCGCTTTTAGCTCACAATAGATATAAACTATGTTTATTGGATCAATGTAAAGGGTGAAAGCTGTGATTCCTTACCCTTCATTCAGCAGATAGTAGCTATAATTTTATTTATTTATTTATTTATTTATTTTTTGCAAACAATTCAGATCCAAGCCAGGCAAAAAACATTTCCTCGGAACCTCCGAATATCTTCATGCATTAGAAGGTTATTGCAGTTTACGTTACATGTTAAGCTATAAAATTAGCGTTTGTGGCATTAATTAAGAAGAATTCAGAAGTTCCAAGTTACGCTCTAATATTAGATGTAGCCGAATTGATAAATTCAACATTACAAATGCACGCCAAAAAAGTCTGCCATTTGTAAAACAGCTTTCTTCCTTTACATAATAGCTCCCACATTTGCTACATATTCGGCCATGCACGTTTCTCCAGCACGGGCTACCGCCCTCGTTTATCGCGTCTTGCGGCTTCGTCCCTCACTATAACTGAAGAAAAGGAGACTATTCGCGGTCTAGCACGAAACTGACAAGAAAACTGAGAAAATGAAATATGGCCCTTTCCGGTCTTTTGTCAACTCTTTCACTCTTTAACGGCTCCTAAGAATACCAAAATTTGCACTTCATATGTATCTATTACTCTCTTGACTTCGTATCGATTTTTTAAAATCCTGAAAAAAGAGGGGTATTACGAGAAATAAGTGTTGCTAAAAAAGTTTCACTTTTATGATGACCCCATCGGTTTTGCTCCACTAACTCTAAGTTAAGAACTACAATTAAATTTCCCTTTATACTTTGAAAGAGTTCATTTAGTATATAGACCACCTTAAACCGTTTTCTACTCATCGGCCGAGAAAATATTACTCCCTAGATGTTCAGTACATAGGTCCAAGTTCAGACTCGCTGCTGTTTAGAAATGATAGCAATTTATGCACGGGAGCACACGTACCAATCCCGCGATATGGTATTGTTTAGAAATGACCGGGTAAATTACAAAGTTAAATGGAGCACAAACTGCCAAATTTAATCCCTATCTAGCACTGGTAGAAGTAGAATCCGTTGTCTTCAATGGCTCTTTTTCTTTCTCCTGCTGCACCTAGGTAGTGTTGTAAGGAACTTGACATCCACACTCATCCTATATGATCCGTGAACACAACGAATTGCACTCTTTTCTTGGAAGCTGTTGAGATGAAAACAGAAGATTCCGTTATTGATTCATTTTTAAAAAAGGATCTCCAAAGTTTATTTTGCTATTGCAGCAGACTCTTTTCGTCATGTATTGAGAACATACAGCGCTAGTCTGTTTTATCATAGAGGCAAGTCCGCCGATCACTGCCTACTACCTATTCTACTCTCTTTTTTTAGGCAACTGAATTACATGTAGGCAAAATCCATTTGGTGGAGTTTCCAATCACGTGGTGTCTTAAAGTCTAGAATCGCGTTTTCTATTATTCCAAAGCAGTTTACAGTTAATGAGTAAAGCAGGGAAAGCTGACAACTGTGGTGAGTAAAGACCTCTAGTTCAACTGGACATGATCAAAGCTTCGCTTTTCCTCACTTCTCTCGTTCCAAGCCGCCCTCATGTCTCTTCTCGGTCAGGGAATGGTCGCATGTCAACGAAAAGACGCGCTTCTCTCGTTGATAATTGAGTGAGAGAAGAGAGACAACTGAGGGACAGCCATGCATTATTAAAGGAGAACAAACATTACTGTTCTGATACTCACCATTTCGTCAGCATCGTCGTCAGCATCATCGTCATCATTATCGTCATCGTCATCGTTAGCATCATCGTCATCGTCAGCATCGTCGTCAGCATCTTCATCATCGTCATCACCATAGTCAACATCATTGTCCACATCATCGTCATAATCATCGTTATCGTTCTTATCAACATCATCATCATCCATGAAAGTGAGGCGTTAGAGCTCTTCAAATCACGATCTCTCATCATGCTGCCCAGCTAATCAACGTTCACTTTGTTCCTATCTCTCAAGAAGTCAAAACCATACGTTTAACTGAACTTATTAACAAAGCTTAGTTTTCCCTCACTAACTCCTTCATTGGATCAATGGGTGAAATTAACTCTTGTTAGAGAAAAAAAAAACAAAGACAAAAGTGACTTGGCGTTTCCAGATAATTCGGATAGTCAGGTCGTCCTTGTATACTATGAAATTGGCTTTGTTGAAAATTTGATACAATAAATAGTTTAAAACTCAAAATAATAGAGATCAGTAAGGATAAAACTTAAAAATAATGACTTGTGCACAAAAGAATGAAGACGAAAAAGGTAAATAAATTTAAAGAATGTAACAAAAAGGAGAAAATAATAATAATAATAATAATAATAATAATAATAACAATGATCATAATGACAGTAATAGAAAAGGAAAAGCATTAAAAGTGGCAACTAAAAAGACTTTAAACATTAAAAAAATACGTCTTGCCTGATTTTTGAAACGTGACTGCTTTGAAGTCCTTGCAGTTTCGTTTCAAAACTCAATTAAGTCTTTTTTGTTGCAAGTATTTCCTTTTCTCTTATTACAATCATTATCGTCATCATTATTGTTTTTCCCATTCTCATATTATTTGACTTTATTTTCAATTTAGGTTCTTTTTTATTTAGGTTATTATATGATATTTTGTTTAAGTATCATTTTACTATTTTTCTGTTTATTTTTCTTTCGTTTATTTATTTCTTATTTTAAGTTCATTTTTGTTCCATTTTCTTCATTTATTTTCCTTTTTTGCCGTTTCCTTTCCTTTTGTGCTTCAAATGAGTCAGCCATCATGTGCTTCATTTGCATGTTGTTATTTTTAGTTTTATCCCTACTGGCCTGTTGTAAATCCTCCGAGAAGAACGAGAAGACCATCCAAACTACCGAGAAAACTCAAGTCTCTTTTGCCTTTGCTATTGTGTTATTATAGGTCTTGAGCAGGACAATTAACTCCGACTATTTCTCTCCACCCACCCATCCCTATCATTTTAAGGACCATCCAACCCTTACCCCAGTCCCCTCTTATTCATCCATCAAGAGAAACCTGGGAACGAGGTTGCCCATTGACCCTCGCGAGGTTCTGCGATACACGTATTTCTACTTTAAGTCTCAATGCAAGTTTCACCTGCTGAAGAACGTCATAGATACATCATCATCACCACCACTGTCGTCGTTTGCTACTGACATCACTTCTTTATAGTCGTCGTCATCATCGTCATCGACGTCATCAGCAGGATAATTAATCATCATAACCAATGCAACAGATGTCATCTATTTGGCCAACTCTTTGACGGTGTCTTACCAGGTATCTACATCTCTCTAGAAGGAGACAAGAATGCAAGCAAAATCAGTGAAAGTTTTGACAAAAATGGTTTGCAGTTTTAAAATATGCTTAGTTCATCAATACAAAACTTCAAGAATTTTCCGCGCCCAGTTTCCATCCGAACCTAATTTCTTTTCAGCCAAGGTTTACAAATTATTCGTCAAAATGTGAGCTTTGGATATTTTTCTATTCTTGTACTTGCCTCTGTTGAGTATGGCAGGTTCCATCCTATCGTTTACAAGTCACTGCTGGGTAGGACCACATGAATTCAGACCAGACAGAGTGCGACATCTGGAGTCTTTTAGGATCTAAATACATAACACCTCACGAACAAGAAATTTAGCCTGCGACAACTAGAATCTATTAGATATTTCTCTCCTCTTAACTAGTAAGCTTGGGCTTGAATCCCACTAACACCTCGTAAATGTAACAACTTTTATAGATTAGATGTCCATTGATCAAGAAGAGAGGATGCGTTCTAATATGTAATACATTTGTAGATGGAAAATGCACCTTAAACTATAAGAAAACTGTATTTAAAGGAAGTATGCTTGCCATCGTGAACAGTTTAACAAAGGCTACATATTAATTTTTCTCAAAAGAGCCTCCTTCTTGGCATCTTCTAGAAATGGCCCTGTATTCTAGGTCCACAACTTGGTCGAAGGCCATGTTTGTTGTTGTTAGAAATTTTTTTTCCTTCTATTTTATGAACGTCTTCGTATTTTTTTTTTCAGTACTTACCTTTGGTCTGCCGGGCAAGACTTCAGTCATGCATCATCTGCTCACTGTCATCAAGAAATCTCTGACCTAAAGATGATGTTTCTCAATAACATGGATTTAGAAAGCAAGCAAACGTTTTCCCTTAGTTATTAAAACTAAATGCTGATATTAATCCATTTTAATCCTCAAAGGTTGGTATTCCTTGCATTTTTGGTTCAGACAATGGCCTATCCGCTTCAGACACCGGGGGGTACTCGACCAATATTTGAGTATAGGTGAGCCATCCTTCAAACTATACATCTTCTTTCAGACGCCCTGACGTTTCCATGAATCTCTTTAAACATATAATATCGATTTGCTTACTAATGAAGCAATGTTCACGGGTTGGAATCCCACTGGAACAGAGGCCAGTTTACCTATAAAGGTACGACGCTTGGTGAAGGCAGGAGAACAACAGACTTTAAAACTCTTTCCTTAAAAGAAACTATACGCACTCTTTGGGCTTACATGTTTATCCTCTTGGAGACGAAGACTTTCCTAATACATTCTGGTACTTACAGGTTGCAGATCGCTACTGATGGAACTTCGGAACTGTCATAACACTGCTGGACGTTTTGACCTAAATAAAATACTTCTTGTAAAAAACAATTAATAATATCAACACACTAACTTTGTCATGCAGTTGGAATCTAATTGCAAGCTTCATTTCCTTTGAAAGGCCTTGGAATTAACGGCTGACATCTCTAAGCTATCATCAAACAGATCCAGCGGATCATTTTGAATCCTGCCACTTGAAAATTGCATTCTTTGCATTGTGGGCTAGGAGCACAAGTAACTAAACAAAGATCGTGGGTTTATTTGAATCCCACTAAGGCGAGAATGAATAAGTTTTAACATCATCTGAAGATAACTTCATTTACCTGCTCAATCGGATTTAGTGTTCTCTTGGTTCGCATCATTCTTCCTTACCTCTCAGGCGCTGGCAAAGCTAACTTCACGCACGAAATCTGAAACACAAAAATATCATCTAACATTTAAAACAACTGACAAAAGAAACAAATACAACCTTACCTTTAACTTCTAGACCTTGGAGTCGTTTTAACTCGAAATCGGGGTCGCCATGCGTTTCTTCAGGAACGCAGCCAAAAGTACTTCCAAAACGAACTTCTAGAGAGCATACGTGAAATAATCAGTTTGGCGTGCTCCGTCTTCAGAGGGCGCGCCCAAAACGACGTCTTCGAGGCGGCGATGTTCGAGCAAAAAAATAGTTTTCAAAGATGACATCCGAAGTTCCTGAAATAAAACTTGCTAAATTAAGAGTTACCGCTTTAATAGAAAAAATGCACTGTTGAAGCTTTATTGTGCTGGTCAACCTTTATTGTTCATTAATGAAAAGGAACTCCGTTACAACAAAATCTAACTTATTTATGTTATTAAGTACTAGTTTACAATGTTTAAAGGAAAAAAAAATCAAGTTGATGAATTTTTTGTTTTGTTTGTTAAACTTTATTCTTCATCAACTTTTAATTACGTACAACTCAATTAAAATTTCCCTGATATAAATGTTTGTTCTCTGCATTCAGCTCTTCACTTCCGACTTCCACGTGTTTCTTCAAGAACGCATCCAAAAAATAGTACCAATGTAGTAAAAAAAAAGGTTGTGCGATCTTGAAAGGGCGCGCCCAAAAAAGTTCCATTAACCGTCAAGAAAAACTTGGAGGTAGAGTCCAAAAAGCGCAAAAAAATATATGATTTTCGACGTACTAGTACCTGAAATGGAAAAATTAGTGATTTTTGTGTTTACAGTAGAAAATACTGACGCACCACATAACGTCAGTCAATGCGCGCTTGAATGTGTTAAAAGACATCACACTCAACTCCGTGTTTTTTTGTTTGTTTTATTTTTATTGGCGTTATTACAACAAGTATTTTGTAATTAATAATATCCCTGCAAATCAAATCATCATTAGTACTTACAACTACTTACTCTATGAATCTAGCATTAAACTAATGAAAAAATCAGACAGACAACACCTTGATTAAAGAGTTTTTATTGAATTAGTTTGCCGATTACAAAAATTAAGAGATCCAATTAAGGGGTGCGCTCCTACAAGAATTTGGCGTCCGAGTTGAGACCGAGGAGTGTGACATGTGTCCATAAACCTTGATTGACACCTCGAATGAAACACACCAGGGTCCCCCGGACGGTACGCAGGGATATTTGGCGGCTTGCTATCGAAACATCGTCGATACCAAGCTTTCACATTTTTCGAAGCTGAATACGGAACCAGATCGAATGTCGAATCGAAGATCGGAAAAAGCCGAATGGACCGAACCGAAAATCTAATCGCCTAACAAAGAAACAAAATTCCACATACCTCGTGCCACGTTGAATTATTACTCGGGCTGATTGATGTGGTGCAATGTTTGCACAAGCGACGAATCTTCTTACAAAAACAACATTGCCGTAGAAATTCAATTTGCCGTACGCTATTTTAGACCAAACGAGTCTGATTTGCAAAATTTGTACCAACATCAATCAGCCCTACCTTATATGGGCTGCTGTACTCTGTCGTCATGTTCCTCCAACAAAGGACCAAGGATACTGGGACCAACAATCCAATAGACCAAGGCGTAGATATGTATATATCCATGATGTTGTTGTTGTTGTTGTTGTTGTTGTTGATGCCTTAGAGTTGCTCCAAAGATGAAGTCCGGCCGGCCAATTAAAATAAGTATTATTAAATATTAGTAGCTGTCTCAACTAACATTGTACTATGCGACGACAACAGCAACTGCCTAACGCGGGATCGGAGATAAGATGAAATTCAACTTCGCGCAGAACAGTTTTTGGAATTGCATTCTTTAA